TTACATGAAAAAAGGGACATTTTAAAAAAGAAATGTGCTTGCTATAAATGCCTAAAACCACACCATTTGGCGCGAAATTGTAGAACAAAAATAACTTGTTCTATTTGTAAAAAACAACATGCAACTATTATGTGTAATAAACAAAATCCTTCTGTCGAGGTTTCGGAAATTAAAAAAGACGAACAGATAGAAAATAAAGTACTTTCAAATCAAGCAGGATGTTCAGAAGTATATTTGCAAACTTTAGTTGTTCGCATATATGGAAGAGGGAATAACCAATTTGTTCGAGCGATAATTGACACCGGAAGTCAAAACTCATACATAAGCAGGTATGCAGCAGAAAGGTTACAATTAAGAAGCTTAGGTGAACAAAGTGTAACCCACGGACTTTTCGGTGGCATAGAAGTTTCGGAAAAACATAAACGTTATAGAATAAAATTGGGTAGCGTAGATAAACGGTATAATTGCGAAATCAATGTATTAGATGAAAGAAAAATATGTTCTTCGGTCCCTAAAATCAAAAATATACACTGGATTAGAAGAAGAGGAATTTACGTCAGTGATGTTTTTGAAAATGGAAATTGAAGATTATTCCAGGAGAACCCCCAAGAGATTCATTTGTTGTTAGGGGCAGATGTTGCTGCAAATTTATTTACAGGTAAAATCGAAGCTCTTGCTTGGGGAAGATTAGTTGCTGTAAGTACAAGACTTGGGTTGACAGTCATGGAGAAAGCGAACACTGACAGTTATGAAATAGAAAATTACTTTTCCACGCTTTCGTTATCTTTACATATTTCTGATGCCACGCTGTCAGAACTGTGGAGGCTTGATGTTATCGGAATAACAGATCCAGTTACAAAAAGGCTAGAGAGGAAAGGGATTTGCAAGCAAAATTGCAGTTCGAAAATTCTGTATCTCTAAACGAAGAGGGGCGTTATGAAGTCGCACTTCCGTGGGCGGAGAATCATGTACCACTCTTCCACCCACAAGGATTTAGCTTTGAAACGTCTACAATCTACCACCCAGAAACTTTTATCTCAAAATTTATTTTCTTCATACAATGCAGTTTTTAATGACTGGTGTAACTTAGGAGTGATCGAAGAAGTTAAAGAAAATATAGCGGTTGACTATGGACATTATTTGCCGCATAGACCGGTGATCAAAGAAAAAAAAAACAAATAGCTCAACACCAATTCGACCGGTGTTTGATGCGTCTGCGAGGAAACAATCGTCTCCTTCTCTAAATCAGTGTTTGGAGTGTGGACCAAATTTGATAGAACTAATTCCATCTCTTTTGTTGAGATTTCGGGAAGGCAAGTTTGCTGCTATAGCAGACATTGAAAAGGCTTTCTTACAGATCAGTGTAAGGCCTCAAGATAGAGACTGGCTTCGGTTTTTCTGGTGGAATGATGTGGAAGAAAAGGAAAACGAAAATATTTCGTCATACTAGGTAGTATTTGGGGTTAAGAGTAGTCCTTTCCTTTTGGCAGCTGTTATAGAATTCCATCTACAAAAGTACATGAAAAATTCTTCATATGATACGGAGATAATAGCTAAACTCTTGCGTAGCTTCTACGTAGATAACGTTGTTGCCAGTTTTGACAAAGAATCCGAGATGATCCAGTTCATCGAAAAAATCTCGAGAAATAATGTATGAAGGAAAGTTTAATCTTCGAGGTTGGTTACATAATGCGGAGATAACTTGAAACAGGAAACTATTTCACCCGTATTGGGTCTGTTATGGAACTCTCAGAAAGATAATTTAACTTTGAATCTGAATTGGCTAGAAGATTTTGAAATGGGTATAATAACGAAGAGAACAATTCTCGCTGTAACACACAAAATATTTGATCCTATTGGTATTGTGAGTCCTGTTCTCTTGTATCCTAAAATATTGTTGCAGAACCTATGGAAAACAGGAATTTCTTGGGATACTGAAGTCGACGAGAGTACAAAACAAAATTTTGTGAATTGGTATAAAAGCCTTTTTCTCTTAAAAGAAATATCCCTCCTACGTTGGATACATTCCAGCAAGGACAATAGGAAGTTCTGCAGCATTCACACATTCTGTGATGCCAGTAGTAATGCGTATGCTGCTGCAGTTTTCTTGAGAACTGTGACGAATTCTGGAGTTGAAGTTCATCTGTTGGCATCGAAGTCTAGAGTAGCTCCCGTGAAATCTATTACGATCCCTCGTCTGGAATTGATAGCTGCCACGATATAGGTGCCAGACTATGCTCTTCTGTTTTAAATGGTTTACAATGGCAAAATGTGGAAACGCATTTTTGGACGGATTCTACAACAGTTTTGACATGGATTCAAAGGGAAGAGATTGTCTGGGCTGTCTTTGTGGAAAACAGAGTCAGGGAGATTAGGAAACTGACAGGATCCAAAAACGTGGGAAACATATTGCTGGAACAAAAAATCCAGCTGACCTCCCATCAAGAGGTTGCACCGCCAAACAACTTTTAGTAGTTAGATGGTGGGAGGGCCCCGACTGGCTGAAGAAAAATCAGGAAGAATGGCCTAGACAAAGGGAAAATACCGGACATGGAAATAGTGAATTCAGAAAAAAGGAAATCAGTCATTTTCTGCACTAAATACGCAAAGGGTAGAACATTTTTTTGAGAAATATTCATCTTACCATAAAATGTTAAGAATAACTGCTTGGATATGCAGATTTATCAACAACTGCAGAAGACCAGATTCTAAACAATCAGGAGAACTCACGGTCCCTGAAATAGAAACTGTAGAAAAGAAAATATGCAAGATAATACAGATAGAAGCATTTGGCAAAGAACTTAAAGTTAGCAAATCCTTTGTACCTTTTTTGACTCAGATGGCCTTATTCGGTTAAAGACCAAGATTACTAGAAGAGAGGAAGAAGAAAATTTTCTCTGTCCAATTGTATTGCCCTCAAATCATGACTTAGTTCATAGGTTAATTTTAGATTACCATTTGCGACTATCCCACGCTGGTGTGCAATTCGTACTAGCCAATATTCGACAGAAATTCTGGGTCCTGAGAGGAAGAAAAACAGTACGTAAAGTTCTTATGAAGTGTGTTCGCTGTAGAAGATATAGCGCAAAGAATATAGAGACTGTTCCAGCACCTCTTCCTGAAGATCGAGTTAGAGATGCTCTGGTGTTTGAAGTGACCGGAGTCGATGTAGCCGGTCCTCTTTATTTAAGAAAAGGAAAAAAGGCATGGATCTTGCTCTTTACTTGCGCAGTCTATCGCGCGATACATCTTGAGCTGATAGAAAGTTTATCAACAAATGCGTTCATCTTGGGATTAAGGAGATTTATTGCCAGAAGAAGGTCGTCCAAGTAATTATTTACAGCGACAATGGCACTAATTTCGTTGGAACTGAAAATCTGTTAAGATCGATATAGATTGGAAAAGAAATAGAATGTCATTCAAACTAGTATGAGAATACAGTGGAAGTTTAATCCCCCAACTGCTTCATGGTGGGGCGGTTGGTGGGAGAGGTTGGTACAAACAGTGAAGAAGATGTTGAGAGAATGTTCTCGGGAAGTCCTGAAGCCTGTCTCTCTTACGAGGAAATGTTGACTATACTTTGTGATATCGAATCAGGTGATTAACTCAAGACCCCTTACGTACCTTTCAGAAGATCCAAATGATCTTACGGCACTAACTCCTTCAATGTTTCTACAAGATGTGCACGACGTCGGAGTGCCAGACTTAGACTACCTGGATACCATCAATCTGACAAAAAGATACAAGTTCTTGCAGAACTTAAGAGAACACTTTCAGCAAAAGATTTCGTGATGAATATTTAGCTATCCTAGTGCAAAAAACCATCCTAAACGATCTACTCGGACTATCAACAAAAATGACTTAGTGTTTGTCGGCAGCGACAACAAGAAGAGAATAGATTGGCCAATAGGTCGCGTTGTAGAAATATATCCTGGGAAAGACAACGAAGTACGTGTTGTCAAAGTGAACACTGCAACGGGTGAAATCCTAAGACCTGTGAAACGTATTTATCCTCTCGAACTTGATAGACCTAACTTGTTTAGTGACTTTACCATGAACAGAAAGAACTCTGCCGATAAGTGTGACAGTGATATGAACTAACAAACTAGATATGGACGTAAAAACTGTAAAACCTCTTACATATTTTTAAATTGCTATACTAATTTTTGTTTCTTTTCAGTATTTTTAGAAATTTAATTGTCCTAACAGTAGTCAATTGGAACATGTTATCTGGATATGGTATGAATGTAATGCAGAAAATGTTTAGATGTGTAATCCTTCTTTGTAAGTATTAATTTTAGAGCATTAGTTACTTTTCATATTTGTGAAAGTTGTACTTGAATTTTTGTTTGATTATTGATAAATTTTGTTTTGATTTTCCCATCTTATCGAGGTAAAATCAAAAAGGTTGGGAGGATGTCACATTCTTGCCACTAGGTGGCGGGCATCTCTTCTTTACTTTTGCTGTAATTGAAGTTCCGAGAACGAGTCGAGATTGGAACCGCTCTGAGGAGCGTAAAAACGAAACTTCAGACTCAGAATTAAAATGTACTGACTTAAAATAATTATCACCTACCTTGTAAATAGTGTATATTAGTGTTTCATTTCAATAAATAAGTAAAAGACAAGATGGCCTGTTAGTTCTAATAGAAACTCTTACTGGAAAACGTGATTATTAGAAGCCTGGCGTCGTGAACACTGAAGATGCAGCAGGTAAGGAATTTTACATTAATTTTATTGTAAATAGAAGAACCTGATGCAACAAAGCTACTAATTAATTTTCAAAGGTAATTAAATTAATCTTTATGTTTAGTTTAATAAATACTAGTCAACTAGTCTAACTGCTTTATAATTTTCTTTTCGAATTATTGACTCGTGGAACTCCAATGACTCGAAGACCCCCTGGGTTCGCGGAATATATTTTGAAAACCACTGCGCTAACACATCAGTAAACATACTATGGCTCGTAACTGCTTCAAAAGTAAAGATTTTACACTTACTTCCAACATCCGTCTGAATTTCTAAAGCCTCTGATTCGGGTCCCCTTCCCGCTTCAGTTTCAGCATATACGCGCACCGTGTACTCTGCATATGGATCTAAGCCACTGATTTTATAATGAGTAACTTCAGTACTATTTTCACTTTGTTCTCCTGGACTTTTGCTCCACTGAACTACATACCACAGGATAGGTCCATTAGGATTTTCTGGTTCAGTCCATTCAATGCTGACGGTTGTACTTGTAACGTTACTATACGTCAGATTTCTTGGCTGACTTGGCCCTGAAAGTAAAATTATAAAAATCTGAAAGCTTTCAAATTTTACATTACGCCCAAAGGGACGTTTTTTTACCGTTTCGTCTGTTACCTTTATTTATTAACTATCATGTTCTTCGCATTCAAACCATAAAATTAAATTCAAGAATATCACAAAATAATTTTAAAATGAGCATATCTTTACAATTTCTGATACAGTCTCGCGCGCTGGAGATAATTTTTTTTTCGTACAGTATTGCCATTGCTCGCTTTGAAATCGTTGAATTTGCTAATCAAAAATTCGTTGAAGTGTTACAAAATATGAAACTGATAACAAAACAAATTACAAATTAGGGTTTCCAGATGCCCATATTAGGTGGAGGATTACGTTATTCAAAACTGGATGGCTGTAGGTACCGTTGTTTTATCACGATGGGAGAAACATACATACATTTATGCAAATTCTTCATTATGTAATTTCTTTAAATATAACTTAGGGCGATAGTATTTGGTGGCAACAATTTGAAAAGTGAAACGGACATTTAAAGTTTTCGACGCAAAAATACCAAAACGAAATTAATATATCTTCTGGGCTGAGGTCCTTTAGGCTAAAAAGATGTTTTCATTAATTTTCTTATTTTAAAGTAAACAGTAGGTTGTATGTGGATACGCCTTTACGTATGAGGCTTCAGTTAAAATTCTATAAATTGTCCGTTGTGTTTCCATTCGCGAAGTTTCTTAAAATGAAGTACAACAGTTTAAAAAAACGTTTTCAGTGCTTTAAATGGAAGGTTATTGTTTATTTAAAGTGTAACATTATCGTATGTCCCATTTAAACAAAAATCATAATTAGTCAATTTTTCGTTTGAAATGTTAAGTAGTATAATAACTGTTAAAGGAATTGACTATTAAACTACACTATATTTAACCTTCCCGTGCTTCCAACGAATTTTCTTTTCACACTTAAATAGAAGTCTGGATATTCAGAAACACAAACAAGATGTAAAACTTTACAAAAAGAATCTGAAAGGTTTCAGATTTTAAATTACGTCCAAAGGGGTATTTTCTTAACGTTTTGTGTGTTACCCTTATTGATTAAACATCGTGTTCTTCGCACTTACACCATAAATTTCAGTTCAACAGCAATGTCGCAAAATAATTTTTAAATGAGCCTATCTTTATAATTTCCGATACACAGTCTCGCGCGCTGGAGATAAAAATGTTTTTTTTTTTCATACAGTATTGCCATTACTTGCTTTGAAATCGTTGAGTTTGTTAATTGAAAAATCGTTAAAGTTTTACAAAATATGAAATCGATAATGAAACAAATTCAAAATTTCGGCTTCCAGATGTCCATATTCGCAGTAGGATTACGTCATTCGTAATTCGATGGCTCTAGGTACCGTTGTTTAATCACAATGCGAGAAATATACGTATATTTATGCAGATTTTTCATTGCCTTAATCTCTTCAAATATAATACAGGATTCTAACATTTGGTGGCAACAGTTTGAAAAGTGAAACGGACATTTATAATGATTCAACGCAAAATCGGAAATATGAAAACAGTAGTCCTTCAGAGACAAAGCTCCTTTGGACTAATAAATGTTTAATTAAAACTACGTCGTATACATGTAACTATAACAAAACGCATCTGTGGTTTCTTTCTTGATCTTCAAACTCCAGCTGCTTAAGTATGTACAGCGCAATGTATAGTTTCAATATCTAACAAAGTTTCCTCCCCTTTCTTAACCTAAGTGCTTAACAAATTAAGAAAATCATTTACTAAAACTAGACAGGCTTATCGATCTATAGATAAAATTCTCGAGATAAGCTCCATATAGATAATAGATCCTGAATATGATCCAGATAGAATTGATGAAATAAGCTGTTTTTCTGGTATATTACCGGGGCACTTCTAAATAACATATATCGCTGTTTAAAATTTACCTAATTTGAATTCTAGTAAAAGCTAAAGGAAAGGAAATAAAGTAAAAATAACTATAGTTGTATTTACGTATTATGTTTTTATAACTATGATATGGTCCTTACAGCTATAGAATTCGATATTTTCGGTAGCATAAGTCCAAACTCGGTGCAGAGCTACAGCGAATTATCGCTGTGTCTGAAATTAACTGCAAAGTTATAAGAAGGTTAAATAAACAATTCTATTAAATCAAAAGATGAATGCAAAACCTGCGTCTAATGTTTACAAGTCAACCACCACTTGTAAGTAATTTAAAGTAATAGTCAATTTAAAATTTAAAACTGAGACTAGTAGGCAAAGCCGACACATTTGATTAACGCAAAGTTGGCTCAAACTCACCGGCGTATCAAATAAAATATCGACAGCACTAACTCAAAGCTGACTAAATATAATATTATCTGAGCTAGTGAAACCTATTAACGTGGCCTCGAAGGGCAGAAACATGCCCTGTCTTACAATCCAAAAACCTCGCCTTAAATATTCTCAAACCTAATTTGCATTCGCGTAGGGAAACGGAAAGAAGAAGTGGCAGTAAGGATCTAAGTCTTAACAAAGGCATAGATTAACATAATGGAGCCTTACACAATTGCGTGAGAAATTCGTAGAGTTATACGAGAAGAAATGAAGAAATGCAGTGATTTTAATCCTTTTTCAGTGCCTATCGAGACTTACAATGAATGATATTTGAATCAAAGATGAAAGTACAAACTAAAAGATGCCTTTTTTGATGGTTAAGAATTCCGTACTAGCTAAAAAAGCACTTGTTGTTAAACTAATCTAATTAACTACAAAAGCATGCAATAATATAAAAATAATTCAATAAATATTTAAGGAAATGAAGTCTATTAGAGAACTTTTTTCTCGTACATTTTTGTACGTTAAAATTGTATTACTTTAAAAGCATAAATCATTGAGCTTATATCAGTGAACATGCTTTAATAACATTATTTTCTACTAAATATTTTGTTGGAGTTTAACGTATAAACAAGAAAAGCATTTTCATTCTTTTTACAAACTAAAAGAGAAACACGACAAAGTGAAATATAAAGTTAGCAAAGCAACAACCATGTATTTGGCATAGATTTAGTCAATAACGCAAATTTTATATTTCGAGGGCAAACAACTACAGGTCCTTCATCATCAGGAGCAAAGAAGTACGCGAGACTGGAAATCAACGGTCGCAGCAGTGGTATTTATGCCTTACAGGTTCGATTCCCGGCGAACGCGTTTGCTAATTTTTCATTTCTCTGGCTTCGAAAAAAATCCTAATGTCTTTACAACTAAAAGGATGTTGGATGAGGACTCTCCACACCCAGGATTTGGCGATTGGGTCCCCTAAAAACCCCAGTCGCCCTTTAAAAGGGGGAGTATATAAGGTATTTCTCCCACCTTCCTAGCATGCCTTCGTGGTGTAGTGGTTCTGCACACTGGGCTTGTATTCCAGAGGTCTGCGGTTGGAGTCCCAGCGAAGGCGTTACTCATTTTTTATCTCTCTTGCTTCGAAATGATCCTAATGTCTCTACAAAAGTAGCGCTATCTTTAAGCAAAAATAATAATGAAATTGAAAATTTAAGTTTATTAAGATAAATTAAGTTTCACATTCACAAATATATATCTTGTTTAGTTAACGACTTTAGTCAGTCATTCCTAAAGCTTTTAAAATTCTATTAATTTAATTTTTCAATTTCGTTACTATTTCTTCCGACAGATGGATAAATATAGATCTTGTGCCAGTTGCTTTCCAGTCTTGCAGATTTCTTTGTTCCTGATGAAGAGGAAACTATACCTGCTTGCCCTCGAAATCTATTGAGTTATTGACTAAATCTATGTCAATCACAAGGTTGTTGCTTCACTAACTTTACGTATTTACAAAGTCTAAATACTAAGCATATTTTACTAGTATTATTGAACGCAATTTGTGTATGCTTAAACTTTTGAATTCAAGAAGAATTAAGATGAAAAATAGTAGCAAATGTCTTAAACTAGACCCAGAATTAGAAAATTTTTACAGCAGAAAAATAAGTACGAGCTAAAGACGAATAAACGGTGAAGGTTTTCGTTGCAAAAATTCTTTGTAATAAATATTTGGTTTCGGTAAATGCAGTGACGATGTTGTCATTTTGGTTTCAATGAAAATTTTTTCATTACACTTATTAAGTTATACGAAAGAAACGGTGCTTAATTTAGATGAGTTTTTCTTGGAAATTTACACAAGATAATTTTCCGTTATGCACTTGCCACGCTTTCGGGCGCAAGTGCGCACGTTAGAGTCTATTGGCCATCACCTATTACATGGTGTACAATTGTGTTTTTTCCATCTACCATAAACTATTCTTGTAACTAGAAGTTGTTTAAAATTCAAAACTCACAAAATTCCTGGGAGATGTTTGGGAGTACTTAACACCAATGCTTAAGAACCCAGTTGAAGAAAAAATAAAAGATGAGCAGTAAAATAACATATATGATGCATATCATATTTTATAAATAATTAACAAATAATTGTCGCTAACTATTTTTGACAAATGTTTTAAATACATATATTTCTACAGACTTTTGCCAAGTACGCGTGAAAAACATTCTTGCTGAATTTGCATTTCTCATTTTCTGAATATTCGCAACGAAAAGTAGTAACTCAAAATCCAATGAGAAAATGAGAAGTTTACGAGAGTTAAACTAACGATGTCTTCTACATTTAAGTAGAAAAAATTTTTAACAAATATCGAAATGTGTATGCTCTTGCAGTCTATTCCAACTATATCGAATAACACAGATCGCATTATTCTATTTACACATTTTTTTAATTGGCATTTCTTTATGGTAATTTTTAACTCGCATTTTCCAATAAATACACATACTAAAGATTTGATTTATCTTTAAAATTTTTTAAATGGTTAGCAGCCATTCGTCTGCAACAGCGGTGCTCAACCTTGTACTCGCCGATCGTTTCGTATGTGCTCGATATCGCCTGCCCAATTAGGTACTATGAACAAAAAGTATTTTAAAAATAACCATTCATTTATATTTCTTAATTGTTAAAATATGGTAAGCATTTATAGTCATAAGAGATATCTTGCAAGACGATATAAAATAATTGATTGCTGACTGATGAACTTGATAGCGAGCATGGTATCTTATTGCTGATTTGTAGAACTTTTTCGCCAATAAAGCAGTTTTTGGAATCCGGAAACGAAAGGTATAAAAAATTGGAAGATAATAATTGGTTATCCGATCTGTATTTTCTCACAGGTATAACAGCTAAACTGAACAAAGTGAACGAAGATCTCCAGGGAAAAGAAAAAAGCCTTTTTCAATTGACTGGGACTGTAACTGCTGGACTAAATCAGATTGACTGGACTAAATCAGATGAAAGAAAAGAATTTAAGCCATTTTCAGAATTTATCAAGCCTATATTAATAACCACAAGGCAATTGAAACAGAGAAATACTCGGAAAACCTAAATGCACTGAAAAATAATTTTAAACTCCGCTTCTCTGATTTCCAAAAAGTTTCAGCAATATTTTTATTTATCTCAAACCCATTTGCGGAAATTAATACTTCAGATGTATCACATAAGATTGGAAATATGTTTAACAAAAATGTTGATGTTTGGAAAATGTGCTCGCGATATGTCAAAATGTGCTCACGGTAGGCCAAAATGTGCTCGCAAGAGGCCAAAGGTTGGGCACCACTGTCTGCAACATAAAAGTAGACTATCTGTCTGAAAAGTGTTATAAGAATAGGCTCAAACTCACTGTCAACTTTGGTTCGCACATTCACTTCGCTTGACCACTGTCCTAATCCAGCTTCTGTTTCCGCAGCCACTTGAAATGTATACTCAGTAAAAGGGTTCAGCTGGGAAGCCATATACGTCTTTTCCTTTACCTTCCCGTACTTAACATAACTATCATTCTGCAAGCCCCATCTTATGAAATAAGCAAGCAAAGGTCCATTCATAGGTTCTGGTTCTTGCCAGGATAGCGTTATACTTTTTGCAGTTACTTCGGTAGCCGTGAGATTGATTGGAGCAGTAGGATCTGCAAACAAGTATACAGTAATTACAGCGTAAAATATACTTAGTATATTACAAATATATAATATTATATTATAATATTATACATTGGTATATATTAATAATATTAATATTGTAATTACGATATATTAGTATATTACAATATGCAATAAGCAAATATGCAAATAAAATTTCTAAGTACTAAGATATAGTATTATAGTATTGAATATACTAGTATTAATAATATACAAAACTATAATAGAAATATATTATTTTGTAATACTAAGTATAATAACAATATTACAAGTACTATAATACAAACTATGCACAAGCAAAATGCAAATAAATTTGTAATATACTAAGCATATAGTATTATAGTATTTGTATGAAATGCAAATAAATTTGTAATTTACTAAGTATATAGTATTATAGTATTTGTAAGATGCTAGGTATTAATAATATTAGTATATACTATTATTAATATAGTATATTACAAATACTATAAGATATAATAGTAGTACCAATACGATAATATATATACTAGTATATTAATAATTAGTACATTACATTTGTAATATACTATATACTTAGTATCTTACAAATATATAATATTAAATATATTAATATTTGTAATATACTAAGTATAATATATTAATATTATTATACTTAGATATTACAAATATGATAAGCTAATATGCAAAAATTTGTAATATACAAGATATAGATTAGTATTGTATGATATGCAAATAAATTTGTAATATACTAAGTTATAGTAGGATAGTATTTTGTAATATAATAGTATATAATAAATTAGTATATTACTATATTATTATATATTATAAATGTAAAATACTATATTACATTTATAATTATGTATATACAAATTTAATATACAATTATAATATACATTTACATATTTATAATATAATTTTTGTAATATACAATTACATGTATATTACAAATGTAATATTACTATATACTTAGTATATTACAAATACGTAATATTAAAATATAGTATTTGTAATATATATTATAATATTAATATACTAAGTATATACTAGTATTTGTAATATACTAGTATATTAATAATATTATTGCATACTTAGTATATTACAAATACGGTAAATAAAGTTATTTGTTTTGCTCATCTATTACACTTCTTGTAAGATAGCAATCCAGTAAATTAATTCCTCATAAAAATAGTAAGCAAGGCTATGTTAGGAAATGTTATTGAGTTAACATTAAATGTTTGTATGCATGGAAATTTCTTCATTGATAAAAATTATTGAATGAAAGCAGATTTGTCTCTTGGATACCTTTATGCATTAATATTAGTTCGTTAATAATTCTTAAGCATCAGATTTAAGAAAAATATTTGCAAAGTATTGCCTCATTTTAAACTGTAGCAGTCTAAATGTGTGAGCAATTCATTGAACTAACGTTAGATGTGCGCCCGCAGATCTCTCATGGAATACTGAAAATGGCACATGTTTGTAAAGAACATTTCCTAAAAAACCAAAAACCCTAAATGAAGCAGTCATTAAGATAAAAACTCAATAGCAGCTAAACTCAACAAATTTCAACAAAATAACTCATAAGTAAAGTTATCAAGATAGCTTGAATATATTTCCATTAGACAAAAAGGGGCATTTTGGTATCGCAAACCTGACAACAATTAATCATAGCAAAAGAAAACGAGATATTTACCATTATTCTGCAGTAAATGAAAACATATAAAATTCTAAATACTTTTTACAGGTGGATTATGTTTCGCCTGATTTTTATCTTGTACAGTAAATTATAATCTACTAGAACTTTAGCATAAAACTTGTCATATTCCATGGAAAAGTTTTGTTTCAAGATTGCTAAAGCACTTATCTTGTCAAAAGTTAACATAGATTTCTTCTTTGCCCACATACTGTTCGTAACAGAAAATATACTTCCAGAAATTGTAGTACTTCCTGGTAGATAAAAATGATTACTCTAATATTTACAAAACTCTTGAAACCGCTAGTCATCTTTCGCTTGTTCCAGAAAATATCTGCCCAAATCTGTCCGCAACATTAATGTTCTATTTATTCGTCATGGCCAGTTTCCTTACAGTTGCAGATTTTATACTGATTCACTGATCAAATGTATGATTTTGTTTTGTCTCGATGAGATGTAGGAACAAATTTCAGCTGTCCTGTACATCTATCCATTGAGGTGTCTTCCTTAGTAAAACCATCTTGAACTTCTCAATGTTTCATAAACTGTAATTCCATTTATTGATAAGTTGGGAGTAAAAATTCTCAACTATCTCAAAATTCCTAACCTTATTTATATTTCCTATTTAGGAAATATTACATATTTCAGTTTCATTTACACATTCCTTGTAATAAACATCGAATTTTTTTAGGACTCTGAATCTAGAAATTCGCTTCTGTAGCTGAAATATTACCTATTTCAGTAAGGGAAACTGAAAACGACAATATACAAACTTGATTTCTTGCAAACGGCAGTTACAGTTTCAAGCAAGATTCAAGAAATGAGAATTTCTCAACAAGAAATCTCTCCTCTTTTTGGTTTGGAAATAATTTTTAATTTTCATAGCGACTCACTTCAACAAATCAGAAATCCACAAGAATATTCTTATCAATATTCTGTTCAATACCAAGCACTACTCTTTTCAGACGAAGATAAATAATGGTGCTGCATTTTTATGTTTAACCGTATTTAAAGGAATATGGATTTTCTGATTTCTTAGATCAATGACCATTTTTCTAAATGATAGGTAGGAAATTTATTCTACGAGTTTTTATACTGATTTCAATTGTGTATTTTGTTATTACTCATAACGTGTTGGCAACGTGTCATATTGACGTTGCTTGATAGAACCCGAATTGAAGCTTAGGGCAGATATGCCTTTGTGGATTACTCTCTACGGGAAACTGGCTCGTATACACGTCACACATGGGGAAAACAACGAAAACGCCCAAGCAGCCAGCCCGCTCGCCAATATTCGATTCCCAGACCGAACTATCAGTGTTCAGCGACTTGACCACTCGACAGCTGGAGAGCCTGGATGAGAGTTTGACAAGGTATTTGACCAGCCGATACTTTTGACTATTGTTTGACGAGCCGCTCGTTTTGAAAAATTTTGACGAGTTTTCTAGGTGACTATCCGATTGTTTTTTGACGAAAATTGAAAGTTTTGTTTTTTAACAAAGTAAGTTTGTTAAACTAAATTTTTAATTTTGTTTGCTGACTGTTTATTAAAATATACATTAATAGTAATAATGATGACGCTAAGAAATATATTCCAATTTATATTTATTTTCTGTTTGAAATTTAGAGATTAGTATCTGCAAGAACTTTCTGTTGGTTGCACTTCGTAATTCCGGCGTCTTGATAGTTAAAAATTAAATTGTCGGACAGAGAGTTATTTCAAATAATCCCGATGCGTTGAATTAACTACTAAATAACACACTTAAACTAAGAGCAAATAAATTACGAAAACGTTTCCGGTAGGAAAAAAAAAACTTGAGAGTGAACAAACAACGGATTATTTTTCTTTTATATATTTATTATTATTTGTTGCGTGCAGGAAAAGTACAAATATTTGTATGTAAATAATTTTAAACTTTTTTTTTTTTTTTTTAATTTCTTACTACGGCTTATAGCTACAATTCACAGCGTTTCGGTTCCAAGAAAATTACCGGAAGATATCTTTATCACGATTTGAAGATGCTTATCTGTCAATCTTTCCTTAAGACTTACCAATTTTCAACTGCGGAAATAAACTGTTCATTTATATGTAATCAAATCTGTAGCTTCAAATCTTTAAAATTTATATCATAGTGTTTATTAATGCCCTCCATCTGTAGATTTTTTGGGGCGTTATTCACCTCCGTTTCTAACGCAACTAAAACAATTTTTAAATCTTAAAACTAAACATAATTAATAGCATAACAATTTATTTACTTATTATTATTGTAAATAAATTGTTATTTAATTATTATTAGTTATAGTTTATTTATTTAATTATTATTAGCTATAATTTTTATTGAATTTATTAGTTATAGTTTATTATAATTTATTCGGTACTATTCGGTTTCGAGGGCCGTAAAAAATCGCCAAATTATCGTTGATGTCAATGCTGCCAAAAAGAATTGCGGCAACCCTAATAATTGCTACAAGAAAGGAAGTATAATAGTAAATAACTATCCCAGAAGGGCTATTATCTAAGATTGATGTTTAAGTTAGATGAAAGGTTAATTTTATATAATATTTTTTTTAATATTAATTATATAAAAAAGGTAAACATGACTGAATGGAAGCATAAGAGTAAATACCATTAGATCATTATTATAATTTATATAAAAATTGCTAAACATACTGAATGGATGACTGCATCGCTATTTCGCTACCGATTTATCGCTAAAGCATAATTTCATCTCGTTGGTTGTTCAAACGTAATTTTTCTAAAATAAATGATGCTTTTCTTTGAAAATCTCGGTAAAGTGCAGAATCCCACTTATTGTTTGCCGCTTTTTACAAGGGTGAAAACAATTGGATTTTTGTCAATTTTCTTTTATTTTAAAGTGAAAATAATCGATGTTACATAGATAAAGTCAAGGGGGGGCAGTGCCACATTTTTGTTGCAATTAGGATTTTTTTTTTTTTTTTTTTAAAGTGAAAATAGGTCGATGTGCACATGGATACCGAGTGTGCAATTCTTAAAAACGCGTCAAGCAGTGGGTGATTTGCACTTACCCAAATTCTATCGCGACTTTCGTCATGGGCAATTCCCAAATGTAATCCATAGGATATCAAAAAAGGATTTAAAATCAAAAAAGGATTTTAAAATTAAACTAGTATTTCAATGGCGTCTTAATAAATATAGAACTATAAAATTACGCAATCTGAAATCAACGCGTACGCTAGATTTGGCGCGCTGTTAAATGAGCGCATTTGCTAGATTCGGCGCTTTTGCGCATACATTTTAGCTGCAATTTTTTAACGGCCCTCAAAACAGAATAGTACCTTTTATTTATTTAATTATTATTAGTTACAGTTTATTATAGTTCATTTATTTACTTATTATTAAAAGTTATTTTATTTATTTAATTTTTCCTTCTTCCTGAAGGCCTTATATAGGGCACCGGCAGTTCTGATTTTAGAAACTCAGGCTTGTCATAGGCCACAGCGTCAGACACTAGCAGCAAATTTTAACAAACTGTAAAAAACAAAATTAAACTAAAGGTTACCAGTCTCCATCAAAGCTACTGGTCTAAGTTGGTCACTAACAAGTTAGCTTAAGTCATTTGTGACTTATGGTTACTGGTGATCAATCAACAAGAATCGTAAGAATACCTTTGAAGACTAGTGTCCATAAAATATATTGGTCTTTTGTGAGCTATAAAAATGTGAATAAAATAAATAAAAATATAATATTACGTGTTATTACTAAAGTGAAAATCACTTACATCCAATATCAGTTTTAACTTCCAAAGCAGAAGACCATAGTCCTGGGCCTGCTTCAGTATTTGCTCGTATTTCTATATAATATGAGGTATATGGCTCCAAATCTTCTATACTAGAAGACTGTTCAGTTGCGTTAAAAGTCTTCCAATTTGAGTTCTGTTCCTTGCTCCATCGGATAGTGTACAAAATCACAGGTCCAACGAAAGGTTCCGGAGCTTCCCATTCAAGGTAAATACTGGTATTAGTCGTATTTTGTACTTTTATTTTACCCAATCGGAACGGTGCTGTAAAAAATAATATTTGGGAATTCTATTAAATTTAATAAATTGTCAATCTAAAATAGTATAAGTATAAATTACATATAAAAATTATACTGAAAGGGTAAAAATTATACATAGATTAAATATATGTTAAATATAGGCTATTACCAACGACAAGTGCTTTGCACACAAGCCCACAGCTTTCATTGTGACATGTGCTTAGCACAATGAATGCTATGGGCTTGTGCTGACCATTTTCAGACAAGTGAGATTGATCAAAACAACAAAGTCATTTTTTAGCCCAAAGGGGCGTTAGCCCAGAAGGGCTATTATTCTCAAAAATATATTTTGCGTCAGCTCACATTAAAAGTCCGTTTCAGTTTTCAAATTGTTGCCACCAAATAATATGGTCTCGTATTATATTTCAAGAAATTAAATAAAGAAGAATCTGCATGAATGTATGTATGTTTCCCGCACTGTGAAAAAAAAAACTGTACCTAGAGCCATCAAGAATATGAGCACCTGGAAGCCAGAATTTCGAATTTGTTTTATTGTCTATTTCCTAGTTAGTAAAACTTTAACGAATTTTTGATTAACAAACCCAACGATTTCAAAGCGAGCAATGGCAACACTGTACTAAAAAAAAAAAAAAAAACATTTTTATCTCCAGCGCGCGAGGACTGTATATCGGAAATTCTAAAGATAAGCTCATTTAAAAATTAATTTGCGATATTGATGTTGAAATAAATTTTATAGCTTGAGTACGTTGAACATGATATTTAATATGTGATGGAGCCGTTCCTCAATAGACACTAATGCCGGCTAGCTTTAAAAGGATTTATTAACAGAGCACACAGGAACGGTTACAAACAAAAGAAATATATATATAAATGAAACATAAACGAAATGGAACATCAAACATTGAGAATAACATAACATAGTAAGCTATCCACATGGCGGCTGGAGTTCGACTGACGTTTTTTCATATCGCCACGAGATGGCGTTTAAATAAAATAGTTCAGTTACAGTTCATGAGTTCAAGGCGTGAATAAAATAGTTCAATTACACTTAAATAGGTCTGTTACAAATAAATAAAGGTAACACACAAAACGTTATGAAAACGTCCCTTTGGATTTAATTTAAAAACTGAAACCTTTCAGATTTTTTTAAAATTTTATTTATAATAATTTTTATTTATTTATTTGCTTTGCAAAACCATTGGATTTTTTTGATTTATTTACGTAACTCAAAAGTTGTAAATAAAAGAGCGATTATTTATTATTGAAATATATTTTTGAATTGAAGAATTTGATTGATAACGAATCATTAAAACTAAAAAATAAAAAAAAATGAAATGGAAAGTATTATGACACAAAGTTTTGTTTAAAATTCATAAAATAATTAACAAACTAAAAGAAAAAAAAATTATCATACAGTTAATAGGGAAAAGATATTAAGTAATTCTCTTTACAGAGTTCATTTGTATCTTTATATCACCAATAACAAAAGCGTGGTTGTCTAAATAAATTAATTCGAATTGCACTGTCAAAAGTATAAGCATTTTTTTACATATAAACCTAATTACAAAGCAAGCAAAACTAATTAATTTCTTACAAAAGTAGTAGGATATTAATGTATCAATTAAATTGAAACTTACTTCCAGCTTTAGTGAGAATATTATAGACATCTGACCAAGGTCCTTTACCAACCGAAGTAGACGCACGAACTTTCACGGAATAGTTGGTATACGGACTTAGTCCAGTAATGCTGTAAGATGTAGTCTGAACAGAAATAACTTCGGAAACTTGTGTCTCTGTGTTCGTCTTTTTGATTGAATATGAAAGAATTGGTCCGGTGAAAGGTTGTGGCTCACTCCATTCGATATTTATGCTTACGTTTGTAACAGAGGAAATTCTAACATTAGTAGGAGCAGACGGTACTAGAAAAAAATGACAGTAGCAAGTTAAAGAAGTTGCGCTAAGTATATTCGAAAGAATTTTCTTTTGTTAACAAATGGCAGGAATAAAATAATTGCAATATTCGTGCATATTAAAGTAAAAACAATCGGACCTTTCAGCATAATATTATAAAGAGAACACATGCCAAACGATAAAAGAGACAGACAGACGAAATTAAAGAGAGTTAAGATACATGTGTTGTTCTTATCTTTATTTTATAGTTTCGTCAATAAAACTTTTAAAGCGTGTCCTTTAATTATTTTCTTTGTTTATTGAAATGATTAATCTATGATATAAATTTCTTATATTTAGAACAATTTAGCCATAGTCAGAATGAGCTAATGTCGAAGTTTTATTGCAGAAATTATCAAATTGGCGCATGTATCTTTCTAGAGAGACCTATTGGCCACTTGTTGTCCTAAGATTGAAAACATTCAAAACATTTTTTAAATGATCTTAAAATTATACTCTTGAAAATTTATATTCAATACATTATCAAAATTTCAATAGTGAGCTAAGTAATCCAAAATTTAATAATAATATAGCAAATTATTAGAACAAAATCACATAATACTTTCAGCATAAAATTGACAAATAAGCCTTGGTAATTAACAGTTAATTAGCCTTGGTAATAAACAGTTAACACTAATGCTACTTAAAAACAACAATAATTTTTGCCTCATATTATTGAATGATAATTCTAGAGAAATTATGGGGTAATACGTCATAGTTAAGAAATTTTGTTTTGCATGATGAATATAAAAAGACCCAAAATATTTTTAATCTACCATGTGGAGAAACGTTTAGAAAATTGTGTAAAAAATTCATTTATACACGTACCCCGATTATCAACCACTTTCTAAATCCGAAACACTTTTAAATCTGAAGTAAGTAACACTAGAAGTAAATTGCATAGATTATTGCAATTCTTTGCCCTCATAAAATTGCCCTTAAGTTTGTTACGCTTTGTCAGAATTCTATTCCGTATATGCTTTACTTTAAAAACTTCTCGGAAAAGATAAATTAGGAACTCCTGTATAACATCTACGAGATAACCAAGGAAGTTCGCTCTGTTTCTGAGAACAGTTACTTTTGGCGCGTTAGTGTGGACAAATTAACTTTGATGACGCCATATATTTACATTCCTTTCAAACCTTATCCTGTAGAGAGTTGTTCGGTGTATCGCCCGTTTCGGCATCGGTTTTGCCGGAAGAGCAATCTTTGAAAGAGCATACAATTAGAAAAAAACGTTTTGATGCCTATTTTGCTTTATTAATACAAATTAAGAAACAAAGATGCATAGACTGCTAGAAGAATATATTCCGCATTTGGAGATATGTCAATATGACTTCTGAACCACTGACATTCACCAGAAAAGGTTGCAATGTGTGTTTGGAGGACCAACTCTAGCATAGTCCAGTATTAATACCAAGAAAGAGGAAAAAACATAACAGCCGAGGTCTACTAGTGACAGTTGCACAGAGTTGCAGTTGCACTGCACCAGAAGTAGCCAGCACTGGTCAACAGAAGAGAAGTTCTCTTCCACGATAATGCTAGACCACATATGGCAAATGCCACCAAAGATATGATGAAAACACTAAGCTGGGAAGTTTTGCCTCAGTCACCCTATTTCCTGGACATCACCCCATCGGAAGTTTACCTGTTTTTGTCCTTGGATAACGATGGTCATGGAAAACGCGACGATGAATCCTCGTCTTGGTTGTTCGTCCTTATGTTGTATCACAATGCTTGGCTTCCAGAAGAAAAAAATCTGACGTGTACGCCACATGACTTCTTTGTACGGAATATTAAATTATACGCATTTTTTCTTGAATTTCATTTAAACTTATTGGATTGAATTAAATCTACTTCGCCGACACGCATAAACCACAATAGAATAAATGCATTCTTTAAAATTCATTAGTATTTGTAGATAAAAACACATAATTCAATCATTTAAAGCAAAAAATCTTCAATTTACAAACATATAAGAGTAAAGCAACTGAGATTACCGAGCCGGTAACAGAGTGGAATATATATAAATATTTATATAGTTTGGTGCGGCCGATTGAACCAAAATACGAGGTGCACATCTACTGTTATAGCAGTCCTATATACAAAATTTCACGTTCTGAGGCTACTCGTTTTGAGTTATGCGAGATACGTACGTACATACGTTCGTACAGACGCCACGAAAAATTCTTTCGGAATTAACTTTTAATAGTTTTATAATTTTTTTGGAGGAAACGAGTCTTTTATTCTGTCCTTACGTACAGATATCACGCAAAAACATCGTTAAATTGCATTCGATAGCGGTCAAAATGGATATTTTCGTTGAAATATGCTGGCTGAAACTTTTCGCGATTACAATACTTCCTTTTTACTTCGTACAAGGAAGTAAAAGGGATTTTTTTCAAAACGGAGATTTATAGGCGTGTGTCTCCTTGGGAAAAATGTAACTGAAGCCAATGGTGATTAATTATTTCAAGAATAAAATGGGTGTTTTTGTGGGCCGTTGTTGATGAAGGACGAAAATCGCACGAACTTTCTGGGTTACCTGGCACTTGCCTTACGTTCACTGGAAAAATCCCTCTAATGAAATATTTATTAGAATCGAACTCGAAATACCTTTTATAAATTCAAGTACTCAATATTTGAAAATAGCATTATTAGCTCAAGATAATAAGCTCTGGCCATGAGAATATGCGAAAATTTAGCGGCGATTATTTTAATAGATTTGCATTTTTATTAAATACCTTGTTAGTGAATTGCTCATGATTTGCATCAGATGTTCTATTTGATGAAGACGGCAGCATTTACAACCAAATTTATGTTCTTTAAAGTATAACCTCATATCTGAGCCAAAAAATTCCAACAATATACATTTAAATATCAAATTTTGATCTTTTTTATCTCCTGGATATTTTCAGTAATCAACAAAATGGGCATTTTTCGAGCATTATAGAATCACTAGGTTATTTAGAAGCAGGAGACGTGAAAAATGAGCAATGTCCTCGTCGGGATATGAACCTGGACCCTCAAGTATGCGCCGAGAGTCTACTGTTACACCACAAGGGCATGCAGAAAGGAGGAAAAATATACCTTATAATATAACCATTTTATCACGTTTCTTCGGTCCAGTAAAAAATAAAATCTGAAATCTTAATAATTACTACAAGTTTCTTGAATTAAGAAGCATAAATTATTAAGTAGCTAAAATGTAAATCATTTAGCTAGTTAATCAATATACAGTTCTAATTTCAAAGATTTACTAAAGAACATATGGCACATCGAATGCGACGCCTGTAAAAATAGGCAATTGACAGGCTGTACGAATAATAAACTAAACACCTTAGGCCTCATAGAATACTTTAAGCACTTTAGCAAAACTTTAAAACAGCGGGGATGAAGTATTGTATGCCCTAATAATGAAAAATAACGTACTAATTGCAAAGAGAGTAAAACAATCTATGATTTATATCATTAAAATTGTGCATTACTTTATGAATGAGATTTAACAAAAGCATAAAATATTAACACAAAGGAAGAACAGTTAAAAGAGTTGCTATTTACCTCCGACGTCCGTTCGAACTGTTATAGGTTCAGTCCAGTTTCCCTCAACGCCATGCGTGTAAGCTCGAACTCGAACTGAGTACAATGTGTACGGCCTGAGATTCTGGATATGACAAGAGACATCAGACGTGTTTTGCACATAAGTTGTCTCGGAACTCGTATCTACCAATTCCACAGAGTAAGTGACCTCTGAATTGATTAAGGATGTTGGTTCTTTCCACTGGAGGGTTATGCTGGTGTTGGTTGTATTTATCACTTGAACATTTTCTGGTATTAAACCTATAAAAAAAGGGAAAAAATTTATAAGTAGTTTCTACCTCCTTTCTACGTGCCTTCTTGGTGTAAGGGTGGCAAACTCGGGGCGTGTTCGAGAGGTCCACGTTTGAGTCCTAGCGAGAGCCTAGCCTTTCTTCAGTTTTCTGATATCAAAAAAATTCTACTGTGGCGCCCGAACCAAAAAGATGTGGATGATGATTCTTCACTACCAGGATTTGACGACTGGGTCTATTAATTCCCAGTTGTCAAATCCCAAATCATATTCTTCCTTACAGTAATTTCCGGAAAATCGTTGGCTGTTTTTGAGCTAATTTAATTACCTTAACTAGTACTATCATAAAGCTAAATTAATCGTATGTTTATTCGGAATTTCAGTAGCGTTTCGTAAGGTTATCATGTCTTTTATTCAGCAACTATCTTGAGTTTAAAATTAAACTATAAATTTTTTAATTTATGCTTGATTCATATATTCCTGCCGCAATTACGAAATTTTTTGTATTATGTAGAAAGTACAAGTATTTAAATGCGTAATTTAAAATATTTATTTATTTTAACTTTACACAAATTTTATTCATATGAGGGAAGATTACTAGTATTTTTTTTTTCTTTGAAACATATAGACTCCCCGTGTACCACATATGTACTATACGGGGCTTACAGAAGTAAGTTAACTAAAACATTAAAAGTTATATGCATAAACAAAACGAACAAAAGCAGATTACACCAGTCTGGACTTCACGAAAGCAGATGAGTTCACTGGCCAAGTCACTCCGAACATTTTCAAATCGTTCTGCAAGCACAATGTAGTGCCATCAAATGTAGGGCATGAGAAAATCAAATGTTCCACATCCTGAGATACTCTTTTTGAAACATTCACATAAATTGTTTGATCTTAGATTAAAACGAAACAGGTAATTTGCAAATTCACCGCGACCAGATAAAAACTGAGACACTTTAAAATTTATAGAGAGGAAAGACTCGGAAGTCTATGGTAAATGGAAAGAACTTTTTGGTGACCTCAGCATTCCAAGATGAAATAAATTCCTCATTCCACACAACTAAAAGCTTCTTATAATGAAAGGACTTCCAATAGCTCTTTGGAACGCTAATGTTGATATCAATGGGTAAATTTAAGGTATCTTTATTAGCTAAGAAATCAGCTCTTTCATTTCCATAGAAACCATGATGAGTACGCACATAAAGCAAAGCGGTTATCAGTTCCTCTAAGTGAACTAACAGTTACTAGGATTTAGATAACTAATTCGTCGCAGCTGGTTCAAAAGTTGAAGAGAAGAAAGAGAATCAGAACAAATAAAAGATGAGCAAACATCTGAATATTGGAGAAATAAAATTTTATTTATATTTACCTGGAAATGGGTCACCAAATTTCGTAACTCTGGATGAAATCTTGTTCTTATCACATATTAAAGTAACGTTCACTTGATATTCAGTATTCGGGCAAAATGACTTGAAATGTACTTCCCGTGTACTAAACGGAGTCCCTAATTTATTTAGCTCAGAGCATTGTGATGATAAAGCACCAGCTGCTGCTAGCCGGACGTCCACGACTGCATCTCTGTCAACCCCAGACCATCGGACTCGACCATCCTCATCAGCCGATATGTCCCAAGAATCCTTGCAATCTCCTGCGGCCTGCAATAGCAAATATTCATACATGAATGAAATTTATATATTTTTATGCAGCAGCCATTTTAAGAACCTCTTTTAACCCTTTCCGGCACGCTACCTTTTAAAGTTGGAGTTTTAAAAAAAAAAGATTGGCAGTCTGATTAGGCCTAGAGAGTACACAATTAAAATTTGTGAAATAGCACTTATTTTAATTCTGTGGGTGTGAACAAAGTGGACACTGTTGAATAAGCTTCGAAAAGAGCTGAAAACGAGCATTTTGTCCAATGAACGACATGAAGCGGAAATAAGAATACAGACTCTCATTTCCGAGATTATCGGTGCGCCCGTCTGGCCACACCTAGGTCGCCGTTTGATTTTCGCAAGATTTCAAGTCAAAATTTAAAACTAATATCGAATAAGAGATATCAAGCCAAAAAAAAACATAGAATTTTCTTTTAAACATTCCTTTTAATACCCTAAAAAATCTGGAAGATATCTTTGAAAAATGAGGTCTAAAATCTAAGCATGGCTAAAATATCTGGACTGTTTGTTTGAGCAAACCATCTACTAGAACTAAGAAGGTTCAGAGTAACCTATAGTGACCTATAAATCCTTTTTCATTCAATTTTTCTGTGCGTACAAAAGGAAATTTTTAGGTGTGTCCAAACCGGACACACTGTGCCGCAAAGGGTTAAGTAGGATTGTCCTCACACAGCAGTTTATGAAACATTAAACCGAGCACAGCGACTTAAAATTTTAATAGGAGACATACATTTTAATATAGGAAATACGGAAGAATTAACATTTCGAAAATATGCAACTCATACTTGAATTTATTAAACTAGCGGAAGTACTCGATGCCAGTTAAATTAGATTGAGAGTAATGTATCTAACAAAAGAGAGAACGATACCGCTGCAATCCTTCTCTAATAACGATGCAAAAATTAGGATTCATACTGATACATTTTTCAGTCTGATGCGATATGCAACCCATATAAAAATTTCGATAGAAAAATAGGCTTATTTTGTCTCATTATATTAGCAACAATGGCACGTAGTTTTTAATGACTTTCCTTTATCTAGTCAAATGGTCGTAAAAACTCAAGTTCCATCCAATATTTCACCTGTATTCAATTTTAGTCAATTAAATGTGACGAAAATTTGATCATAATTGATCAGAATGAATAACGCGAACAAACACACAAGCAGGCATTCTTCTTTTTTGTAAAACTTACAAATTTTTGATTAACAAGCTATATAGCTAAGCGAGTATAGCAACACACTTCCGAATAACGATTTTTATCTCAACGCGCGAGACTGTTGCCAGCCGGAAAATGAGTGCGAAACTAGTATTTTCGAGTTTTTATTAATAGCTCGGCAGATTAACTCTACGAAGATGGAACGTCAAATGGCTGCCCCACGAATTTTTGAATCGGGAATAATGTTTTAATGTTTGGCAATGCTATTTTTATTTCATTGTAAAACTTAGAAATTTTTTATTAACAAACTGTACTATTTGAAAGAGAGCAGTGGCAACTCTTCTCGAAATAAAGTATACTTTTATCTCAAGCGTGCGAGACTGTTGCCACTCGGAAAATGAGGGCGAAAATTAGCATTTTCAGATTTTTAATTCAGATTAATTTCTCTGATTTTAGCTTTTTTCCTTGGGGGGGGAGGAGGAAGTATACTTCGAACTTTCCCACGACCCAGAAAAGAATTGTAGAAAGTTTGGTTACGATAATTATAGTAGTGACTAAGTAAATCGCAAACGAACAAACACACAGACATTCTTCTTTATATAGACAGATGAGCAAGAAAAGTATAAAATAAAAATAGGTGATTCCTACTCCCAGTTTTTTTTTAATCTTTCCTTTTATAAAAATTATATAAAAATCTTTACAGTGCTTCTTAAGTATACAGAGAGAGAGGAAAAGAAAGATACATACGTCGAAATAGATACTTAGAATGATATATATGTGGTATGGTCACTTAACTTAACCTGTTCCGCCAAACTAAGTTGATGGCACTACAGGGTTAGGAAGTCATCCTAGTCATTGCGAGGCAATCTGACTATGGCCGCTGTTCTCTTTTGTGCATTAAATCGTTAGCTTCTTTGGATACAATTAATTTTCATTCATTTGCTTCTTATCTCAAGATGCCGCTTGTTTTGCATCATAGTCCCCGTGAACAGTCCTATTCAAGGATATGTGATGTAGTCGGAAGGAAAGAACTGTTGTCGAAAGTGGTCTGTCAGAGGGCAAGAGCAGGTATAAGTGGGCGATCGACTGCTTCTTTCCCCCCAAAACCACCGCAATAACCTTTGACGTCCGTCTGAGGAAAATCGTCTGTAATATACTCGAATTTTCGCGTGTTGTAGCAGGCCTGGAGAAAGTCGGTTGCATTTGGAGCCTCTTGAGAGAAGGTATTGGGAAGGATGTTTTAAGTAAACCTTCTGTCTCTTTCTTCCTGCATCGTGATGACCATGTCCTCTGGGAATGTTTTGTCTTGAGGGCCTTTTGCACCTTCTGCGAAAAGCGGAACGTCCTTTCAATTTCTGGTTTGAGATCTGCATTCTAGCTAGTTTCAATCCGCTCGTTTTCGTTCCCTTTCTTTCTTCTCTGCCCATTATATCCTTTAATCCAGTTGATCTTTAAAGGGATGGAAGATTCTAACGTCAAGATGATCTCTCTAATGCTGCCGTGTGCGGGTGTTTTGGAGGAAAGGAATTCCGCGCATTCAGAACGCTCATGCTATCTACAGAAATTGCGATATGATAAAATTCGACAGAAAGATACATACAATAATTTTACGTCTTCGATCATAGCACTGTATATCAGCGGTGCCCAACCTTGTGATCGTTTTGTGTGTACTCGCCAGCCCGATGAGGTACTATGAACAAAAAATATTTTACGAATAACCATATTTCTTAATTGTTAAAATATGGTAAGCATTTGTGTCATAAGAATATCCCTGCAATACGTTTATAAAATAATTGATTGCTGACTATGAACTGATAGCGAATTGGAAGCTTATTGCTTCATTCTCGATGTTAGATGCGCATCAGTAGAGAAGACTTCAACATTTGTGAACTTCTTTCGTCAATAAAGCCATGTTTTTGGAATCCGGAAACAAAAGTTATAAAGAATTGGACGATAATAATTGGTTATCCGATCTGTATGTTCTCACGTATATAACAGCTAAACTGAAAAAAAAACTGAACGAAGATCTCCATTGAAAAGAAAAAAACCCTTTTTCAATTGACTGGGACTGTAACAGCTTTTCAGATAAAGTTAAATTTGTGGACAAATCAGATGCAAGAAAAAATTTCACCCATTTTCAGAATTAAGTCATATTAATAACCATAAGGAAATTGAAACAGAGAAATAATCAAAATCTGAATGCACTGAAAAAAAAAAAAAAAAATTTGAACTCCGCTTCTCTGATTTCCATAAAGTTCAACCAATATTATTATTCATCTCAAACCCATTTGCCGAAATTAATATTTCAGATGTATCACATAAGATTGGAAATATGTTTAAATAAAATTTTGATGTTTTGGAAATGGGCTCGCGATAGGCCAAAATGTGCTCGCGAGAGGCCAAAGGTGCGTAGATTTAACATTAAAAACGTATTTAGTGCCGTCATTCCAAAAATTTTAGAGAGCGATACTAAATTACGCTACCAAGCACATGCCATCCATTTACTTCTACATATATTGTAGGATCTAGTTATTTTAGCTATCATAAAATGTGATTAGATCTACTTAAGTACTATTCCCTACGAATTCTCGCACAGGTTTGAAGGCGAACATAACCAGAGGAGAAGTGTAAAAGACCCTTTTATTGAACACAATATAATTAACAGATGGCACTTACTTATGTGCTTACAAACATCGACCACTTGAGGTGAGAACTTAAAAAATACGAAATACTAATTTAAAATTTGGAGTAGTAGAAGACTTTACAAGTCAATTTAATGCTAACATGTTGACTCAGAGCCTACACCGGCAGAATTCTCATTCGGCGGCAAGAATGCGGTACCGAAATACTTAATAATATATTTATAGCAATATTAATAGTTCCAGGTTAATAATTAATTTTAGGTTAAATTTAATTTAAAATATTCCTTAAAAATATTAATATTTAAAGTTTAACAACAGCTGGAAAGAATTAGCAACGTCTCTCATAACACGAATCACACGCTCTGTAACTATCGCTATCGCTTCCACACCAGTTTAAATACTCTCGTTCTCCCTAGCTCATTATCCTGGCGAGGAAATGCGAGGGGAATAAGCGAAAACAGAAAACGTTCGCAAATTAAAATAACTATAAGTAAAAATAAATATAACCCTGAAATATTTGAAGATACAGATCTTATTAACTTTTCTTCATATTTTTCAAAAGATAAATATTCTCAGTTACGAATATTTGCAATATGAAAAAAGGCTTGTTTGGAAGAGCATATAAAGGAGAACAGTTTTCCCATCACAGGTAAAATTTACTAAGTAAAGGACAAGATACACCGATGTGTATCTACAATTTGTGATCAAGATTTCTGTTAATTTTTCTCCAAGGTTACGAACTTTATCAAAATCGAAAGACCTCAGGCTATTGTTGTTCAAAGTTGTAATAAAAAATAAAGAATTTTATGATGATTTCCATACAAATGTATGCCTTTTTCTATATGCGTTAAAGAAAAATTATAAAAAATTATATTAATAAATTCTTTCGAATTTTATATTCGTCCACGGTTCATTTTTTTTCATTTACACACACAAAGTTTCGAGAACATTGCGTTTTTATGCAACGTTGCTGAAGAACTTAAAGTTAAATCTGTTATAGAATTAATAGTAATTAATAAATTACATGATTGATATATTACAATACTTAATAATGCTCATATTTACATCTATAACAAATAATCTAAAATATTATGTAGTATACATAATTAATTAAGTAATAAATAGTAGATTATATAATTACTATAAGTAAAAGATGCTGTTAAAATATATCAGTGCAATTGATAAGAGATCTACTAATTGCATATATTACGTTCTTTTTAAAGAATCAACGTTCGGTTTATAAGTGAAATTTAAAACATAACGATATCATAGAAATGTACCCAAGTTTCACTATTCTATATTATCATTTACATTTTTTGTTTCATGAGCATTGCATTTTCTTTTATGCAGTTTTAGTTATCAAAAATAAAAGCCTGTAAGTTCAGAAAATGAACGCCAAGGAATGCAATTTCTCTTTTATTTGGTAAAAAAATTTTATGACATTCTGAATTTTTCTTTCTTTCTTTCTTTCTTGTATTTCTGTACCATTCTTCAGTTTCAATGTTTGTGTTTTTAATATCTAAAAACTGTGGGTCTCAAAGTGAAATAAAATTAGCAACAGCTTATTTTCAGACAGGGAAGCAGTAATTAAATAAATTTTTGATGCAATGACCCAATAGGGAATTACGCAGGAACGCTAAAATGCTTCATTAGATATTTTTGATCTAACATACAAAGTGAAAGTAAAAGTAGTGCATAGTCAGAATGGCAATTTTTTTTAATGTACTCAGACAGCATTATCTTCAAAAAAGGTATCTTTGTATTCCACCTTTGAAATAGCAGCTATAATTGATTGAATTGGAATAAAACGTTGTTTTCTTCTCAGACATTTCTTCTCTTAGAAATTTTATAATTTTCTCCTTTCTCTCCGCATGCCTTGAAGCACACTCGATGCGTATTCGAGAGGTCCGGAGTTCGAATCCCAGCGAGAGCACTGCGCATTTTTCTCGCCCCCAGCATCAAAAACCCTGATGACTCTATTGTGGCGCCCGAACTATCCCTGGTGGACAATAATTCGTCACCACCAGAATTTGGCAGTCAGGTCTTCTCATCCCAAGTTGCCAATGCGTAGCCAAATTATTCAGATATAAATTAGCTGATTTACTTTACTTCCTAACACATTGCGCACACGGCAAAATCGAATTTCGCACTCAACTTTCTATGGAAAAAAACGGATTAAGGTTAAGAAAGTATGTATCATTTATACAAACTTCGATTTTATTGTAATTATACGGAGCGTTTTTTTTAACATTTTGTGTGTTACTTTTATTTATCAAATATCATGTTATTCGCACTTAAACCATAAAATTAAGTTCAACAGCAATATCGCAAAATAATTTTAAAATGAGCCTATCTTTAGAATTTCCGATACAGAGTCTCGCGCTCTGGAGATAAAAATGTTTCTTTGTTTTCGTATAATGTTCCCTTGCTCGTTTTTGAAATCGTGATTTGTCATCAAAAATTGTGAAGGTTCAGATATGATACTATAACGAAACAAATTTCAATTCAAATTAGGGCTTCCAATGCCCATATCTAGGAATATTACGTTATTCAGATTTGGTTGCTTTAGGTACCGTTTTTTGCCACCGAGGGGAATAATATATGTGTGCCGCGTTTGGCGATCTGGGCGATAAAGTCCGCCAATAAGCTACAACTGATGCCAAAAGAAATATCGCGCTATAACCCTTTAGCCGCATTTTCAAAAAAACGTCTGCTATTTCTTATCTTAGATTGATTGTTTCTCGAAGACTGCATACATAGAATTTTTTGGGGTACCAGATGTCCCTTTTAATGCCTTTTAATGGGCCAGTTCATTGGTTATAATTTATCAAGTTAGGGGGCGATTGCGATGCACACTGCTCAACGTTTTTCTCGAGGCGAAAATACAGAAAAGGGCAAAGTCAAGGGGAAGTGTGCATGCAAGGTGTCTGCGGGGTGAGGGTATATGGGTGGGCACGAGCAAGTAAAAGCACGCGGGGGGATATCAGGCTGAGGAAGCAGGTGACGAAGTGAAATAAGGCGGCGGGGTGAAAACTTGTAGCCAAGGAAGGATGTGGTGGTCTGGCGGTTGGGACTCTATCGTTGAGGGTGGTGGTAGGGGGGTGGGAGTGGTTAGGGATGGTTGTGTAAGTGTTGGGCGTGGTAGGGCTGTTGGGGTGCCCTGGGCCCCTTGCCGGTGTTGGGTCTCTTGCTGTTTGTAGTGTGGGTCTGATTTGGAGTGTGTTAGATGGCAAACTGGGCAGGTGTCGGGAGCGGGTGGGGGAGATGGGTCGGTTGTTCGGATGGCCAGGATGGCTGGCGTTTTTTCGCGCACTTGTTGGGCTCGGGAGGGGGCGGAGACACGGTTGGTTGTGGCAAGGGGTGAAGGTCTGTACGTAAGTTGTGGCTGGGGTCTAGGAAATGGCAGGTGAGGTTGGTGGTTGGTACGTGGGGGATTGTGTGGACGGAGAGGAAGCACGTGGTTGGGGAGGAGGGCAACGGAGGCCGTACCCGAGCAGATGGGACCAAAAGCAGGTAAAGGAAAAGGGTGGGGTCTTATTGCAAAGTTGAAGTGCTGTGTGGGAAGCAATGGGGAGGCTGGATGGGTTGGGTCTGATTAGTGGAGGTGGCGTGGAGCCAAATGAAGCTGTGTGTCGTCGCGGAGGAGCAACGGGTGTAGGCATACTGCCGGAAAGAAAAATTCGTGGACAACGACCTGGGTAAAAGGGGGGGGGGGTAGGATGGTGCGGGGAGTGGGCCTTGTGCCATGAAAGATGTCGCGTGCAAGGGCCCCAACAAAGGACAAAGAGACGACAGGAGGCAAGTCGAGGAGTGAAGGCGGAAATGAAGGACAGCATATTTGTTTGCAAAATTGAAAGTGAAATCACCGGATCGTGAAGCGAACCGCAAAAGCCAAAACGAAAGTAATAGTCCTTCTGACAAATTTTGCGCTGGGTGGGATTTCCGTCTTTGGACAAAAAAGAAGATATAACCGTAGTTTAATTGTGTAATTTTTTGTGGTGGGAAAACTGATGGAGCAATTTAGGAATTTACTTTTGGCACATTTACTTTTGTTCATTTTCAACTTTATAAGTGTATTGATGTATTTATTCAAGGAGGCAAAGTCATCACTAGGGCTATCTGCCTAAGGGAGGGATGCCTTCGGGGGAGGACTTTCTAAGGGAAACTGCTCGTATATACGTTACACATGGGGAAAACCACGAAAACACCCATGCAGCCAGCCCGTTCGCGGGATTCGAACCTCGACCGAAACTACCAGTGTTCCGACTTTCCGCTCGAGCGCTGGTGCGCCAAAATTTATAATGATCTTCTTAAGTATTTACTTACGTATATATGTTTCATTTACTTACATTTTATTTAGGTATTAGTATTTATATATTAATTTTAAAAATTTTTATTTATATAATTCTCAAAATTCTAATACTACTTAATTGACTTCATATATAACAACCTTGTATTTTAGGCATTTTCCAATTCTATGAATTTTTAATTTATATTCATTTTATATGTAATTTATATATTATTTCTTGATATTATAATTTTTATATGCAATTATCAAATGCTAAATTTTTGTTGTATTTTAATATATAACAACAGTCGTAATGATTCCATCAGTTTGAGCATAAAGCTATGGTGTCTAAGGTGGTGTAAGTTTCTCATCTGATGGTAAATAAATAAATTAATTAATTTTAACAAAGAGCGTAAACCACATTTGGCGTTATTATCGCTTATAACGAATATGCCAAACTTCAAAACGCTCCAAAATGCAAATTCACGTATTTCTTAGAAAATTTTGAATAAATAATTTTTTGTAGGTATGCTTAGAAATACGTCTACTTTAAAATGATGGCAAAAATTTTAAAATTATATTCAAAATGTTCGTCGAAAACTTGGTAAAAATTATTTAAAAATACAAATTTTTAAAATAAATCATAAAAAATGAGCGAATTTTATTTAGAATGAACCTAAATTTCGAAATGTGAAAGGAAGAACGAAATAAGTTTTAAAAAAAAAAGCTATTAATAAATATATACCAAATTCAATTAACAGGGAGGAGCTAAATTTTTTAGAGACAATTTTTTAAAATTGCGGTTTTTATAAAACTTTGCACTTTGGCATAATTTGAGTCGTAGAATCGAAATATGGAAAACGATCGGTATATTATTTCAGAAAACGTCCGATTTTGTGTACGAAATATTGATTAAAATATGTTTGAATGTTTTAACTGGCATACAATTATATTTCAATATAAGTAAAATTTGTTGAAAATATTTTGCCACTTCTTTAGAACGGAGAATGGTATCTATTGCGAAAGAAGAAAAAATATCACCACGAAAGTATATCATAATTTGTATCTCCGAACACATCTTTCTGCATTACCAAAATGTATTTAAAGAATAAAGCTACAGTTGATTAATTTTGTGACATAATGAATTACGTGAAATTTTTTAACATGTATAATTCTAATCTTAAGGAAACAATAAAAGGATTGAATATTATTTAATGTTCACAGTTTAAAATGAGTGAGATGTTATTGAAGACTGGGAAGTTTGGTACTAATTTAAGATTAATGTTTTTACAGTAAAGTTATAATGTTTTTACAGTAAAGTTAATAAAGGTTTGAAAATATCATTTGATCAACCTTCCCTCCATTTTTCTAAGATGAAATTTTTTTGCTCAGTTCTTAGGCTCTATTCTTATTTCTAAAAATCATTGTGTATAAATCATTATCTTAACAAAGCATGTGATTTCCCGTGTCTCATTAAAGGCTTTCGTAAACATTAAAACATGCAGAATTTTACGTAAAATGAAAAACATTTGAACTAAGATCTAAAAAGATTAAAACTAAGATCATGTTAATTTAAATAAAAGACTTTGTTTCCAAATTTAATCAAAATAATCACGATATTATTAAATTACAGCCCACTTACTGAATTCTTAACGTGTATAAATCCAATGAGAACCAGAGCGCTGACATATGCAAAAGCCGCCATTTTTTGCAGACTGAAGGCATGTTTGCAGGCACGCACTTGCAGCCCCCATTTTATCAGCAAAGAGATAACATTATAGCTTGATTTATTATGTTTCTCAATACAAATATCTGAACTTTTTATCACAGGTATGGATTTCAAGCGAAGAAACCGAAAGCGTTCAGATAAAAGTCGCGTTAAAAATTTTTTATACCTCTAACTATAAAATTTTAGTACCCGTACTATTACGTACTATAATACAAAAGGAAATAAATTTAATTTCATGCGAGCGAAATTTTAAAATATTGATATTTTGTTTCTGTTTTGTATTCAGTTGCTTGAATAGATATACTGAGGAACGTAATTAAAGGTGGCACGAGTAGAAACTGGTGATGTAATTGATAAGCTGATTAATTTTGAAGTTTATATGTATGCTGCTTTTGAAATGCGGGAAAGGATTCTGTCAGAGAAAAAACAAAGTCAAATAAAAAAAAATTGAAAGTTTCAGATTTTAACGACTCGCCCAAAAGGGTTTGGTTGGTTGGTTGACTTTAAAACCTTGAAGGTTATTATGCGCCAGACGAATGGTGAATAAAATTCAAAATGCACAAACACACTGTATCAGATGAATTGTTGAAATGAACCTGTAATGCTGTTGAAGGCATGCAGAAATGACTTTGAGAAATGCTCTAGCAACAGGTAGAGTAGGATAAAAGGGAAAAAAAACTTCAAATCATATGGTAAAAAGAGATGTCTTTTAAAAAAACACTTATGAGGCTTGATGTGAGGGTTTCTTCCAATGAGATCTGTTAAGTTTAACATTCGTAGAGTTAAAATGATATTCGCGTTTTCTGACTAAAAGCCAGGACAGCAGGTTAAAATGCGATTGACTTGAAACGTTGGAACATTGCAAGTGGCCACAAATAGGCTCGTTTATCTCCTTTCAAGAGATACTGATGTATGTCAGTCTGCAGTGACCAATTCGTAGAGGAGTCCGTAGTACATCCTCCTTTCGATTCCCTCTCGACTCCCGATAGTCCAAATTGGGTTTTACCTGCCTTAATTTGTTCAGTGTCTGGCATTTCCAAAGTTCTTGCCACCCGGACAAGAATTTTGTTCTAATGTAATTCCGTGTGTCTGTAAAAGACCCATCATTTTCAGAGGTAGTATCAGCAGATATTGCTGCGACATCGGCGAGTTCATTGCTTTTGATGCCAGCATGTCCAGGCACCCAGCAGTACGCAATAGAATAATAACCCGCGTTTCTCAAACGGAGGTGTGCCTTTAAAATTTCTAAGACGAAAGAGTGGCTAGTATTTGTATTTATTGATTCAAGAGCACTCAGAGAGTCAGAGTAGGTAATGAACTTTCTGCTATTCTGATTAGAGATAAAAATTAAGGAATTCAAAATAGCAAACGTTTCTGCAGTAAAGACAGATGCAGCCAGCCTTATGAAGTTTACTATGTTGATTTCTTTATCACAAACCAAAGCTGCCTCGACATGATCATGATTCTTTGAGCCATCAGTAAAAATTGCTTTATAGTTAGAATGATTGCTTCCATGCTCTAGATAAGTTTGTTGATAAGGTGGATATCATTGGTACTGCTCTTCTTAAATTCTCCAAAAATGTTAAGTAGGTGAATATTCACTTCTTGCCAGGGAGCAATACCGAAAAAGTCAAAGCTTTTGGGATGCAGATCTTTTAGGTTAAATTCTTCAATGATTGAGTGAATGCGAAGATCAAAAGGTGGGATACGTGAAGGACGTGCTTGCCGAAAGGGTTCGTTATGGATTTTTAGGTTTTCGCTGAGCCTGCAGTCTACCAGCTTGTTGTTACACTCACTCCTATTAACCCTTTTCTAGCCCAAAGCGGCATTAACCCAGAACGGCTATTGCGTTGAATTACTTTTCAAATCGTTGCCAGCAAATATTATCACCCTATATTACATTAGGTCATATAAAAAGTCTCCGCGATTTTATGCCACTAGATGGTGTTGATGCCTAAACACTCACTGGCAACACTCACGCAATTGTCTCAAGCGAACATATACACTGGTGTGCAAAACTTAAGCAACAGGTGTTCTTTTTGGCATAACTCCACGAGAAATCACCTGAGAGCATGAATTCAGATATAGACAGCATTTTGTATTTAAACGATGACGAAGCATAATTGCTCTAAAATGAATACAATGCATACAGTATGGAATCAAACAAAAAGAGGCTTATTGAACTCATATATCGTTACCATGATTGTCTGTAAAGAGGAAGAATAACAAGCATGTGTTCCTTAGTAGGGATACCACCCCTTACTGCATGGTTAATTCCAACGGTCTCTCCCACTAGCACCAGATTGTCCAATAGATCTTGAGGTAAGATGCCCATTCCTCATCTCATCTGTTTCAGTTGCTGGGTGTTCCGGAGATGTAAGTGTCACAAAGCGTCTCCCAAAGCTCCCACACATGTTTCTATGGGGTCTGCAAGGAGATACGACTCCTTGATGAGATGCCCAGTTTTTGTGCTCCTTGGCACCACTGTAACGGTGATGCGATGGTCCTTTCAGAGGATGCAGCGTTCAGACGCAGGCGCATAGTCACATTTGTGAAGGTGTTTGGACCAGTAAACCACGACAATTGTTGCCCGTTCCTGTTCACATTGTTGAGGCTGTGGCGCTTGCGACTGGTCGGACTCTTTTTCGCCGCAGACTATATATCGGTTATTGCTGCAGTTGTTTACCTGGTACGGCGCAACCACCAACCTTTCTAATAGCTGTACCTATGGTATGGAAGTTTTTCTAAACGCGAGAAGCCACTTTTGTTGATTCCGAATTCTGCAGCTATATTCACACTTCGCCCCTATCCATATTTCGATCATCTTCCACGTGTGAAGTCATTCAGATCATTTTTCTAGCCAAGATCACAAAGAACTCCTTCACTTCACGAATGTCTTTAATTGCATCTCCATTCTTCCTTTTATGGTAATCTGGATTTGCGCGCCGACCGTACGCGTTTTTGTACGCTCACGTACCTTGACTTTTCCTTCTTGACATTTCATACCATTACTTTTCTACTGAATTGCGTGTTCATTGTATGACGCAAGAACCCCCTTTCTACAATTTCATGGCTATCTGATTAAAATTTACATTGTTGCTTAAGTTTTGCACACCAGTGTACTTAAAAGGTGACATTCAGCTTCCATTGTTTGCGCAGATAGTTTTCTAATTCGTTGCTCATGTAAAAATTTATATTGGAAGATAGTTTTCTAATTCTTCGCGCGTGTAAACATTTATATTGATTTGAAAATGTGTGAAATATCTGAAGAAATACGCTATGCGATGCTCTTTTTTTTCCTATAAAAAATATAAAAACGCTGCAAAAACAAGCCGAAAAATTTGTGAAGTGTACGGTGAGAGTGCTGCGAATGAACGAAAGACTCAGGAGTGGTTTACTCGATTCTGTTCCTGAAATTTCGATGTCAAAGATGCACCTCGCTTTGGCCAGCGAGTCACTGGAAATGTCGATTAAATTTTGCAACTGGTAGAGCATGACCAGCACGCAAGCTGTCAAGAAATAGCGGAGGCACTAAGCATCAACCACATGACAGTCTGGAATCATTTGAAAAGAGCAGGCTACAAAATGAAGCTCGATGGTTGGGTGCCACATGAGAAATTACTCATTATGAGCTGCTGCAACCTGCAATTCGGCCTTGTACTGTGCATAACTCGATCGTTTTAAAGAAGCAATCCACAAAGAGCGACCAGGATTGGCACGCAGAAAGGAAGTTATAATCCATAATGACAATGGGGGGCAACACGCATCTTTGATGACTAGAAACAAATTGATGGAACTTGGTTGGGAAGTTTTGATTCATCCACCGTATAGCCCGGATCTTGCACCAACTGAATATCATTTATTTCGGTCTCTGCAAAACTCTCTTGATGGTAATAGGTTGGCCGAGAGAAATGCCGCTGAAAATCAATTCGCAAAGTTTCTCAATGATAAACCCAGAAGTTCTACACCGATGGAATTATGAAGCTACCCAAAAAAATGACAAAAGATCATAAATAATAATGGTCGATATGTACTTGATTAAAATTGATTTTCAATAACAAAATGTTTGTTCAAAAATGTACTAAACAACAGCGGAGACTTTTTATATGGTCCAATATTTAAAGGGATTAAATAATGAAGAATTTGCATGAGCGTTATCGCCCTGTACTGTATTTAAAGAAATTAAATAATGAAGAGTTTGCACGAATGTATGCATGTTTTTCGCATTGTGAAACAACAACGGTACTTAGAACCATCAAAGCTTGAATACCTTTGTCCTCCACCCGAATATGAACGCCTGGAAGGCCGAAATTTCAATTTGGAATTTGTTTTATTGTCTATTTCAAATTTTGTAAAACTTTAAAGAATTTTTGATTAACAAACTCAACAATTTCAAAGCGAGCAATGGCAACAGTGTACGAAACAAAACATTTTTATTACCAGCGCGCGAGACTGTCAATCGTAAAAATCTAAAGACTGGCTGTTTTTAAATATTTTTAGCCCAAAGGAGCATTAATCCAAGTGCTCTCGAAACATGTATACGTATGTGAATGCAAAAAACGTCTCTTTGAGCATAATATAAAATCTGAAGGCTTTTCAGATTTGTATTTATTTATTTGCCTTTTTTAGCTTTATTATTGAGCATTATTTTCTTAGCATTTATGCCATATAAAATTTAAGAGCAAATTTGCAAAATTTGAAAAGCAGGACAGTAGTATACGTTAAGAATTCTTGATATAGCGTTAAATGTTGGCAAACATTTTTCCCAAATCAGAAGAGAAACACGACAAAGTGAAACTTAATATTAATAAAGGTACAACCTTCTATTTCGAGTAGATGGTTTATTTTTCTGTTTTTTTCGGTCTTGTCTCAGTTCATGATAAGAACATTCAGATTTCTTACCAGGAGGGCTTTACATAACTTTTCTCTCTTTTTATTATTAACGATTTGTATGCTTATTTTAATTATTAAATATCACATTCTTGGCGTTGTTTCGTT